TGAGGTCTCACTCATTACCTAGAGCAGCAACGCACAACGTTTTTGCGTTGGGAGCAACCTTCATCAAGAGGCCTACAAATTCTCTTGACGTTGCTGGACCAGTAGGGTGCTCCGCACCTACTGATCCTGTCCGTTTTTTGACGGTCCATCCCGTTGTTGCGTCTTTGCACCAACTGCGGACCCTCGTCCCTGCCCCTTTCTCATGGGTGGACGGTCACTACGCCCAGTGTCGCGAGACACTGGACGAGGGGCACTACACTCGTAAGCGTAGTGTCCTGTCTTTTGACATCTGTTGCATCTCTGCAACTTCTTGTAGCCTGTAGAGCGAGCCTTCTCGCTCTCTACATAACAGAGTTCCATCGGCTCTGGACCTCCGTTGTCATATCGTCTCGGTTGAAGATACGATGTCGAGCTGGCGCGAGCCTGTCTCAGACTGAAGTCTTCCTGTTCCGCAATGGAAATGGCTTGTTCTAGTGAATCTAGTTCAAGCCGGAACAGGTGAGTCTTGACGGGACCATCCGCAAGACCCTGCATGAACACCGAAACCAACGTGTGTTCATCCACCGGATTGGAACTTATACAACTCGTAAGATGTCGTATATGTTGGGCGTAAGCGTGCACATCACGCTTACCCTGTTTGAGCTTCAAGAGTTCGGTTCGAGCCCTGAACTCAGCTCTAGGCGGTTCAAACGTTTGTCTGAGCCGCGACTTGAAGACTTCCAACGACCCAAACGCATATGGGTCGTGCAACTTGAGCCCCAGTGCCCAAGTCTTGGCACGTCCTGCCAGATTTGACTGGGCAAATGCAACTTGCATATCCCCGTCGTCGATGCGACGCGCCCTTATGGCGTCATCCAATTCGACGAACCATCTCAAGAGGGAGTCTTCTTCGACCCCCCTATACTTGGAGATGTCAATCTTCAAAGTCTCGGGTCGACGCGAGTGCATCGGCCCGCCAGCAGCAGCCTGCTGCTGTCTCAACAGTTCAAACTGTTGAGCACCTTGTTCTCTCAACAACTCTGCTTGTTGAGAACCTTGTTGGTGAAGCAAGGCTACTTTCTCGCGTTCTGCGTCAAGTTCATTTTGAATGAACTTGGCGATAGTAGCATGTTGGGCATCTCTATTGAGAGCCTCTAGCATGACGCTAATAGCATGGATGCCCATGGTCGAACCCATTCGTTCAACCGCATCCCATTCGACATTGCTCAAATAAGAGTATCCGTCAAGCTTGAAAGCTTTGGTCATCTTCATCATCCAACATATTCATGTTGGATATGAACGCGGTCCTTGGACGGACTACGAAGTGCTACCAGGTGTAACGGGGCACCCTGAAGCTTGTACTGGTAACAGTACAAGCTACTTATTCTGATAACAGAATAAGGCGGTGCCTCGTAACTTCACGTACACTCGTACGTGCAGAGGAAGACGGTAAGAAGAGGCGAGTACTTGGTTAGAGTAAAAGAGTAGAACTGTATTTATAATAGTTAATGTCTGCAATAAATCACTATTTATCTTCATCTAACTATGTCTAAATACAAATGTGTAAATCAGTTATCTGCTCACCACTCATTGCGTGCGTCTGTCGTGGCGCGTCTTCGTTGGTTGATATAATGGCCTATATCAACCAATTAGGAACTACTTGTAAGTGCTACAGAATATTTGTCCTTATGACAATATTCTGAGAATATAACTCTTATAGTTCTATTCTATTAACAAATTCTTATAAATTGTTATATAACGATTTACCCCGTTACATAGCTGCGCTAAAACGTGCGCACATGGCAGTCCCATTGTTGCCTGCGAAATATCCTGACAAGCTGGCAAGTGGTGTCGAAGGGAGTAGCGTCCTATGGAAAATGCGCTGCCTTTCAAGGAACCACTTACATACCATTACGATTGACCAGAATGATCAGCGACGTGACAAGACGTGTGGGACAGCTCTCACAGTCATTTAGCCGAAATAAAACTGATATTTCGACAGCTGGGTTTGCATGAGGTGCAAATATAAATGGACCGTGCACCGCACTTAAAAGTTGTTATTCGGGTGGTGAATGAAGCGGAGGAAGTGGAGGAAATCGGAAAATTACGTGCTTTTAGACGCATGCTTTTTAAAGTTTTTTATTTGACCACGTCACTTTTGATGTACGATGGACAAGGCAAATTTCTAACGGTCATGCAACGGGTTGCCTCCGTTGCATAACAATCACATAAGGTAACTATCAAGCATGAATATTATGTTAAGATATGCAAATTGTCATTCTAATCGACGATATTGCTTCGCAGATGCAACACAATGCTCATTAATTGATGCAGGATCAAGATATCAACCAAAAAAAGTCTAGCCACGACAGAAGCACGCAATGAGTGGTGCGCAGATAGTTACAATGCATGTCGGAATTTAAAGATAATTATATGAGGTCGAATAGGTATTTATCAAAGGATAAATTATACTGAATACAGTTCTACTTTTTACCTATACTGAGTAATTGTAACGGGGAACCCGTTGTTTGGGGTGACACGAAACTTCACGTACACTACTAGTACGTGCAGAGGAAGCCAATCTACTCAAAAAGCTAGTTTGAGCAAAGGCAAAAAGAGAACTATATTCAATTTAAATAAGCTATCAGTATAACTTCAGCATTTATCCAACTATATTAAACTATGCCGTCGTATGACGACATCCTGCTCAGCACTCATTACGCACGTCTAGCAGCGATTGGTGGTAGCCTTAGTTAATATAACTTTATCAACCAATCTTTGAGCAGCGCGTAAACAATCTCCCTATTGACACCGTTTTATGTCAATATCATGTAACGGGCTACCCCGTAACATCAACCCCCCTTAACCGTCAATCAACCGATGATTGAATTTAACTGATTGGGACAGGGTGACGACCGTTGGATTGCTCTAGGAAAGAAATGCACTTATTGGTCAAATTTCAGCTCATTTCCCAATTCATCTCATGTTGTCACAGATCATGCAATGTGCTGCCGAAGAGGGTTCATCTGTTGCTTCAGCAGCAGGTGATCCATCTTCTGCTGTTGCGATTCAGCAACAGGCGGTGCCTGTTGTAAAGAGCCTACGTGGTGAGTCACCACGTGCGACAGATACATCCGCTGCGTCTGCAGCGGGTGCTGCGAATTGCAATGTAAATGAGCCTGAAATAATACTCATCTTTTCTGGCGAGTCAGATGATGCTTTCGACTCGAAGGCAATACCTCAAGCCTCCGGATCATCCGGGGCGGACACTGCAAGAGCCAGGTTGACTGGGTCTTGAGAACGTGGAGGCATCATGTCCGAGATCTTCGGACCGAGCGATTCTTCTGACGAATACTCGCCTCGCGCAAGTACATCCGACGATAGGGCGCGTGTTGATGGTGGTGATGCTCCTGTGCATCGTCACGAGAGAATCAACTCGATAGATTGAGTTGCCACTGGTGTCAGTGCTCGTGCTGACACCACTCAAGATAGCAGGGACCGAAATGTCCTGCGCCAAGCTCCTCAAGTGGAGACTCCTTTAATGCCTTCATCCAAGGAGCCTCCTCAGATGCCTTTATCCAAGGAGTTAGGACGATGGGTCAGCATGACCACCCAACGGGATCGAATCCCGTTGTTTCACTTTAGGAGGATCTGTCCTCTTTATATCAGCACATAAACTATCCGTGCTGAGGAGGGGTTCTTTACCGATGTATTTTTCAAACATCGGCGGTACAGTGGAAAGCGTGGTCGAGACGGTAAGGCTTGGTGCAAGGATGGAATGTCTTCAATTGTAACATTAAGTGCATTGGCAAAGAGGCCTGGCTCGATTGACTTGATGCAGCTCGCATCAGGTTTGAGAAGCGCAATTCAGTGGGGACGCGATACAAGTTGCACGGACTGTCAAGAGAGGCAGGATTACGCTGTCTCTCGTGGGGTGATTTGTGTCCAAGTTGCCTGGACAACTCAAATCGTGCCCCTAGGAAGGCCTACCTCCCTAATGTTCCCTACTGGAGGGCGCGCATCTCTTTTGAGATGGCTAAAGGGATTGACACTTTGCAATCCCTTCACTTGCGTTCGGGGGGGGGGTCGTTTTCTGACGGCCCTTCTTCGAACGCAGCGGGTAGGTCTCGTCATATTGCTCGATGAGATCCAGAACATTAACAATCAGCTGGGCACGAGGCTCCCAGCTGTCCCAGTTCGGTAGATAGCCACGCCAGCCGACGAGGTAACTCGTCCGGACGCCATTCACGTTGCGGTGTTTCAAAATATTCTCCACTAGAAAGTGTTGACCACCGCTTGAGTCCACCAAAGGATGTGGTGGCGGCGGGAACACCTGATCCGTCTCGATGGTCGGATCAACTTAGTGTTCAGGAGCTGAACCGTGTAAAGGAACAGTTGCAAGATGACCTGGCTCATGAACGATCTCGGCGTTATGGGCTTGAGGATCTTGTGAGGGATAATCCCAATTTCTTAGCGCACGATCGTTCGGAAGATCGTGCCGCGTTTGCGTTCGCGCAAATTGAGAACGAACGTTCGGTTCGTTCTCTTCGTGACGAGCTGACTGCAGCTCACTAAGACATCGCTCAACTGCGTGAGCAGGTTTCTTCGCCAGTCTACCAGACTGGCTCGTTGAAACGGGACCACTCGAAGGTGGTCTCGGCGCTTGACCGTGGAGGTGTTCTTCGCCTTCCGAAACGGGCTCGCACTGATAGTACGAGCGGAGACGTCGGACGTGAAACGTAGTATATGTACGCATCGTACGAGGCAGTTCAACCTTGTATGCGTTGCCCATTCGGCGCAACACACAAAATGGACCGATATATCTGGGCAGTAATTTACTGCTGCCCACGTTTGTCACCGCGTGTTTTGGTAGGTTTACTATTGTAGAAAGTAAAACAAGGCCTCCTTCATCAAATGAACGAACATATTTTCTTCCAGGTTTGTCTGCGTTTCTTTTCTGTCCGTCTATAGCATCTGCAAAAAAACAGAGTCTTGAACAAAGAGAACGGCCGCTTCGCGAGTCAGCAGTATTCTTCTGCTGTTTCATCCTTGTCAACAGCAGTGCGCTTCGTGTGCACTGCTGAAAGAACGTTGTCTTCACCAGTGAGGGTGTCATCGTCCTCACTTTGGCGGTCATCGGCGATTATGAATATGCCAGCATCGTCGTCATCGTTATCATCGATATCGATCCCATCGGCATCCATCATGTCGACACCATTGTCGACGGGTGATGAGCAAGAACCAGATCGGTTTTTGTTCGAGCGAGTCCACCCCCCCCCTTAAACTAGAGTCACACTCTAATAAAGTGGGTAAACATGGATGGCTTAGGCCATTCACGAAGAACGGTGTATCCGTTGTCGACGCGTGCACCGAGTTGTTGATGGCGAATTCCTCCATCGGCAAGAACTCACTCCAGCTCGTAAACGAGTGGACATACCCTCGAAGTATCTCTTCGAGAACGCGGTTGACGCGTTCTGTTTGACCATCTGTTTCAGGATGGTCAGAAGTTGACATCGTCAAACGTGTTCCAAGTGAACGGAATACGGATTGCTAGAACTCCGCTGTGAAGCGGGGGTCTGTTTTCGGACACGAGTTCACGGGGTAACCCGTGAAGTCGGAAGATAGTGTCAATGTAGACACGTGCACAGCCCTGGGCTGTTATTGACTCCGGTACAGCAACAAGATGTACCATCTTGCTAAACCGATCAACAAACACGAGAATACCAGTATTCTTGTGAACGTACTTCGGAAACCCGAAGACGAAGTCCAACGATACGGACTGCCAACACTCTGCCGGAATCGGAAGCTGCTGCAAGGGTGCGCGGGATGAAGAACTAGGCTTCACCCGTTGACAAACTTCGCAAGATCGAATGTATTTGCGTACAAACTCATACTGGCGGGGCCAGTAGAAGTCACGACTTACCGTGAGGTAAGTCTTTTTTCTATCGCGATGTCCACTTCTGGGGGCATCGTGACACTCATACATGATGCGCAATCACAAATAATCATGAGCCGGAACGTTGACACGAGGTGTGTCGCCGTTGACCGCTGTATAGTACAGTAGTCCATCACGAACAGAATACCGTTCGGTTGAAGAGCGGTATTAAGACGACAAGCTTTTCAAAACTTGACTGCACGGACAAGATACATAATCCATCAACCGCGGAAGAGATTCATCTTCTGCGTATGCTCATCACACGTCGTCGAGAAGATTTGACGACGGAACACTCACCTTCAATGTTGCTACAGTGGGATCATTACTACTATTGAGTTGAGAAGTCGGCTTCAAATCGGGCCTATCGAGGGAAAGAGCATCAGCGACGACATTAAGTCGTCCTGGTTTATACTCGACGGAGAAGTTGTACTTCGCGAAGAAATCCAGCCACCTCGCCATTCGTTGCGAGAGTTGTGGAGTATTTACGTCCGCGAGTAATGACGCATGGTCGGTATAAACGATGAAGGGCCTATCTCCTAAGAGATACACCCGAAACTTGGCCAGTGCATATTTCATGGCAAGGAGTTCCTTGTCATGCACCGGATAAGTTTGCTCAGCTGCTTGTAGCTGACGCGATTGATAACAGACGACGCTCTCAACGCCGTCTTATTCGTACTGCATTAGCGCACAGCCGATTGCAAAATTGCTGGCGTCACAGACCACATGGAATGGTCTATCCTGGTCTACATTTGCCGACACAGGCGATTGCACCAAGATTTTATTGATGCCTTCGAAGGAGTGCTGACACTCAGCACTCCATGACCACATCTAGTTTTTCTTTAGCAGACAATAGATGTGTACGGTCATCTTGGCGTAGTTACGCGAGTACTTGTGCAAGTACGCCACCAAGCCAAGAAAATCTCGAAGTCCCTTGACGTCGACTGGCACAGGCCAGTCGCTAATCGCCTTGATCTTTTCCGGATCATGGCGTACACCGTTTTTACCCACGATGCAGCCAAGAAGTGGTATGTCGTTTGCTGCGAACATACACTTCTTGAGGTTCGCAAACAACTTATGCTCTCGCATTAAAGTAAGAACCTTCTGGATGCGGATTCTATGAACCTCCACGTCCATTTTTCCATCCATAACCCGGCTATGGACGAAGACATCGTCGAAGTAATTCGGTGCCAAAAAAATCGCGCACCGATCGCAACAGATTCGTAACACATCTGTTGAACGTTGCGAGGAAGTTACTTAGCCGCTGTGGCATCACTAGCCACTCTCAGAGCATACCACGAAGGGTGCTCACTGCCGTGTACGGGATGTCCCGCTCACGCATGAGGATCTGATAGAATCCATCTATCAGATCCATGGACGAAAAGATGGTACTCTTTGCCATACCATCTATGATGACGTCCTTACTTGGTATCGGCGCTTGAGCCGGTACCGTTGCATTGTTCAATTTGCTGAACGCGTGCACTGTCCGCCACCATCCTGTTGCTTTTCTCACACAGGAGGTTGGAGAGCTGAGTGTGATGTTGATTCCCTCACATGACCAGCCGCTAAGCTATCGGAAAGGAATTTGTCGGTTGCTGTGACCTGTTTACGAGGCAGTGGCCACTGCTTCATGACACAGTACTTCGTACCAGGTTTCAGTTCGATCTCATGCCGAGTGCCTTTGTCCTTAGGCAGCTCGCATGGCACGGATGTAGGGACAACATCCCTGAATTCGACCTATCTTACAGACGAAGGATTTGTCTTCAAAGACTCCCAAGATTGAGACGTGTATTGCTCAATCCGGGGATTCTCATAGAGAACACTATCATCCATCGATGAACTACTGATAACTCGTTCGTTCTCAGCAAACACTTGTGCCGACCGAAAATCGGCGACATACTCGTCCCCTGTGACAAATATGCAGATCTGTTTGATCTTGTCACTACGCAGATCTCGCAAGAATCTTTTAGATTCTAGGGTTGGCAACTTGATTATCTCCGAAGCTGACTTCGGGGGCGTCACCAGATCAAGTGTATAAGCGCCTGTACTTGATCCGTCATTTACTAAGACATTAACTGACTCGGTTCTTTCCTGAGAAAGCACATCCGCAGGTGGTTGGGGATCCACACCCTCTACATAACTCTCTCAGGAGTTACCACTTTCAGGAACGCTGGAACTTTCTTTCAATTCGTGTACTATCACGGTCACTTCCTCTTCGATCGACTCTCTTTCAGTCGAGCGGGCTTTCTCTACGATCGACTCCCTGATAGTCGATTTTGCTTCAACTTGTTGTTCATCCTGAGCAACACTAACCTCTCTGCTCGGATGCACCCTTCTTGGTGTGCATCCGTGTTCCAGTCCACTCGATCTCTTCAAGTGGTGAACCTTCGGCACAGCCTGTGTCTCTACACAGGTGCCGGAAGCTGGTTCCACAGTGTAGTGGCCTTCTTCAATGTGATCTTGTGCAGTTGCACTAACGAACGTACCACAAGTGAAGCCATCGCATTCACTCGTAGTACATCCAAACGCTTGTGGACGCTTTAAGACTTTCATCAGATGGACATCTGATGAACAAACGGCAGGCATCTTCACGGATCGATGCTGCCAGCTAACCCATGGCTGGCATTTTCTAAGCCATGGCAGAACGAGGATGACATTGAATTTGTCATCCAAATCTAGTACGATAAAGTCATCACCGTACTGCTTCCCTTATAGCGTGTAATGGATTCCCACTACACGTTTGTTCAATATAACGGATGCGCCTGTAGCAAGGCACACCGTCATACTCGTTGGAGGGAACTCTCGCTCAACATAGTTGAGTCTACTATATTCTAGCGACTGGCGTCGATAAAAGTGTTCGACTCCCCACAGTCAACTAGAGCGCGAAGTGACGTTCCACTTATCACTTCGATCTTCGAAGTGATGAGAGACTCCTCATCACTAGGGGCAGTAACACACAGCGACTGTGTGTTGGGAGCAATCTTCGTCAAGAGTCCTGCAAATTCTCTTAGTGTTGCTGGATCAGCAGGGTGCTCCGCCCCTACTGACCCTGTCCGTTTTTTAACGGTCCGACTTGTTGTCGCGGTTTGTCGACATGGCCGGACCCACGCCTCGGACCCTTCCTTGGCCAACGGTGGTCATCACGTCCTGTCTTTGGACGTGTTGCGGTGCTCGGGAAACTACACTCATGCGCGTAGTGTCCAATCTTCTGACAGCGATGATATCTTGCCGTTCGCTTTTGACTCATGAGCGAGAGTTCTCGCGCTCGACAAAACAGAGGTCCATTGTTTCAGAACCTCCGGTTTCCTGTCGTCTCGTCGGACAAAAGTTTGACGAGTTAGCTTGAGACTGTATCAGACTGAAGTCTTCTTGTTCCGCATACGCTATCGCCTTGTTCAGCGTATGGAAGTCCTCTTAAATAAATATCTAATTGATTTTTTGAAGCGGATCCCTTTCGGCTCGCAAGTTGAAGGCTGTATTATCTCCGTGAAGCAAGGAACCCATCGGTTGCTGAAGCGACCCAGCCTGTGTCGCTTGTTGATGCAGGCGCTGGTCATGAAGACACTCATGTCTTAACGTCGTTTTTGTTTTTTAAAAAGAATTAATTGTAGATTGATTTTTAGCTAATATAAATTTATAAATATTTCTACAAATAATTGAATCTTTTCAACCTTTTTTAAATTTTATATATTATTTAAGAACACTACACTAATGGGCGTAATGTCCAATCTTCTGACAGCGTTAAAATTTTTGTAATAATTACTTAAATTACTTAATAAAAAAAATGTAAATAAAATTCTTAATGAATTCTATAGGTCTTTACCGGCCGATTCGCAAGGCCGTAGATGAACACGTTGATGAGCGTGTGATCATCGACAGGGTTTTCCGTAACGCTACTCGCAAGGTATCGCAGGTGCTGTGCGTAAGCGTGCACGTCACGCTTACCTTGCTTGAGCCTCAGGAGTGCAGAGCGTGCTCTGAACTCGGCTCTTGGCGACCCAAACGTCTCTTTGAGCCGCGACTTCAAGATCTCCAACGACTCAAACACGTTTGGGTCGTGAAGCTTAAGCCCTAAGGCCCAAGTCTTTGCTCGTCCTGTCAAATTCGACAGGGCGAAGGTGACTTGCATCTCGTCACCCTCGATCTGACGGGCCCTGATGGCATCGTCTAACTCGACGAACCATCTCAAAAGAGAGTCTTCATCGGTTCCATTGTACCTTGAGATATCAATCTCCAAGGTTTCGGGTCGACGCATGTGCGTCTGCCCGCCCATCG